AGATTTATTTGTGTAATATTGATTCCTGAAGTTAAATTTCATCTTAAAAAAGCTGTGTGCTACTACTCATATCCAGTTAACCAGCTGCTAAATACATATCGACTGCATAAGTAGGTTACTATTATTTTCCCCTATCTATTAGTCTATTTCTTCTGATGAGCGCAACAGCGGCTGAGTCATTCATTCAAATGATATGAATTTTATTTTATTTTCGTGGCTTTGACTCTTTATATTATGTGTAACTAAACTTTCTATAGCTTTGTACCTCATGACTAAATTTTCTCCTCAACTCCTGTCCATTATATAGAGAAGATTTTTGCCAAGATTTATGTAAATGACAGTTACTCTTTACTTTTATTTTTAGAGCAATGTTTGAAAGACTCTGTTAACTCTCTAATCGGAGTAATTTTTGGAATGTCTGTTTCAATATTTACTTAATTAGTGTGTATATCAATAGTGTTGTATTTCGCCATTTATGTCAAGTAGATGGTTGAGTTAGACAATTTTTTTGAATTGTTTCAGGATTGATATGTCAAAAGTACGGATTACTTTTGTTCCAAAATTCAAACTGCATTGAGCACGTTAAAGTCTCATTTAAGAAATGAATTAAAACCTACTACTCCGAAACTTTGACGTGTGCCCTTCGCTCTAAGACTCTCGCTCTCTTGTGATATAAAGGAATGATGCATTAACAGTGTTAAACTCCTTTTTGGCAAAATTTCCCAAAAATACGCAGATAATATTTTTCTGGCAGAAAGCTACAAGTGTTCGTGAACTTGGAGATGTTACGAATGAGAAATGGTGAAACGCGTAAACTTATGTAATATTCACCCGATAACAGTGAAAAATATTCATTATCATGGAAGTGAAAAACGAAAGAGTTGGTTCTGAAGACATAATCCTTGTTTTCTATTGTTTTAGATTGCCAAGAAAAATACTCATTTTTGCCCACCATAATTATTGTCAATTAATTACATTTTACTTTAAAGAAGAATGCCAAAAGAGACAAATGTTCTGCCGATTTGGGGCAATCGAGAAAGTATGAATTTAAATCCATTAATATTAACAAATATACAATCGTCACAATATTTCAAAGTTAATTTATATGAATTGAAAACATATCATGAAGTAATTGATGAAATATTTTATCAAGTAAGTTGAGTTCGAGTTTGTTTTTACGAAGATAAATTTATACTTTGTGATTTCAATTATAATAGGTTAGACATTTGGAACCGTGGGAAAAAGGCAGTCGTAAAACACAAGGTTTAACCGGAATGTGTGGTGGTGTAAGTATTCTAATAGTTTATCCTGTTCTATTTCATTCTATCACTATTTCAAGAAAAGGTAGCCCTTCTTTCTCCGTATTAGATTTAGATGTTTTATGATTTTCAGGTGCGAGGGGTAGGTGGAGGTGGTATTGTATCAACAGCCTATTGTATTTTATATAAGTTATACACACTGAAATTAACAAGAAAACAAGTAATCGGATTAATAACACATCAAGACTCACCCTATATTCGTGCACTTGGTTTCATGTACATACGGTTAGTTTTTAAAATGAATATACAATTAGAAAAGACTAAAATACTATCAATTTATTCAGATATACTCAGCCGCCATCAGATCTCTTTTCGTGGTATGCCGACTATCTTAATGATACAGAGGTATGTATGTATGTGTTATTCGTTGACAGCATTCTTCTTATGATCTCTTATGTTGAAATAACTAGGATATGGATGTGAAAGCAGGTGGCGGATGTATAATGTCTATTGGACAGATGCTTCGTCAATGGTTAATACGTATTGAGTACGTATTCTACTCAGAGATACAGAGTGCTTCAAAGTTCCCACGAGAGAGCTTAGACATTTCTCGAACGAAATTAAAATGATCGCTGTTTCTTACCATCAAGCTGTGAGAGGTTTCGATAGTTTGACTCAAGAGAAATTTCAATAATTTCTCTAAAACATTCTTCGGCGGTAGTATAAATTCAAAACTTAAGAAAACCTTTTTAAAGTCATATTTTCTTCTCCAAGCATCTA